GGAGCGGTTCTCAGTCATCTAAATAGCCTGCATGTCTATAATTGTCCAAATCTGGTGTGTTTTCCCCAGGAAGGATTGCCCACTCCCAACCTGACTCGATTGCAATTCTTTCATTGCGAGAAGTTGAAGTCATTACCTGAACGCATTCACACCCTCACAGCCCTTGAAGGTTTGTGGATATGGAATCTTCCAAATCTGGAGTCAATTGCAGAAGATGGGGGTTTGCCTCCCAACCTCCGATATTTTAGCATTGGGAATTGTGAGAGACTGAGGGCTTCATCTTCATCAGTGGTAGACTACTGTAACTGGGGTTTGCAAGCACTTGTCTCCCTTGAACGTTTTACAATTGGTGGCAGGGGAAGTGATGAAATCATGGAGACGTTGCTCAAGCAACAGCTGCTCCCTACCACTCTTCGCACTCTCTGGATCACTGAACTTTCAACTCTGAAATCTTTGGATGGAAAGGGACTTGCACACCTTACTTTTCTTCGAAGTCTAAATATCGGAGGGTGTGACAATCTCCAATTCCTGCCAGGAGAGACACTTCAACACCTCACTTCTCTTCAAGAGCTACATATTTATGACTGTCCGAGTCTCCAATTCCTGCCAGAAGAGGGTCTGCCGCCATCTCTTTCTTATCTGAAGATCGTCAGATGTTCTGGCCTGGAGAAAAGGTATCAGAATAAGACGGGACAAGATCATTGGGCCAGCATATCTCACATTCCATGCATCGAGATAAATGATGAAGTCATCATATGATGATATGACCCTCTCTCTCTATTGCCTTGGGATATTTCACTCTCAACTCTCAAATCAAACTCAGGTTAGGTATCTACTTCAAATAACCGCTTTAACTGCTTTTCTTCTAATTCAATAAAAAAAAACTGAAATTCACTGTCCAAATAAACCGAAATACACATTTTTAATTTAACTATTTTTATGTCCACAATTTTGCATCCAGTTAACTTTTACAATTGCCAAAATACATAGCATTTTGATCGAATGCTCCTTCCCAGATCATGCTTTCTGTTGTTCAGCACTTTTTTATTATTTTATAATTCATATTCATTTTTTGCTTATAACCACACCGTAGGCAATAATCGAATCTTCAGTTACTAATACTATAGTAAGTCTCAAATGCTGAATAATTAAAACTCTTTTTGCAGGACAGCACCTTCTCTTGGAAAGCTTTTCATTTGCAAGGTTCCTTTACGTGTCATTTCCAGGGTAGGGTTTACCATTGTTCATAGACTTTTGTTTTTCTACAAAAGCAATTGTCACAACGAGGGGAGATGGAAAGGTTTACCTGGAGTATCTGGATTGACACATTCCTCTATTGTTGTATTGTTTTGTCCTCTATTTATTGTTGTTTATTTCGTGCTCTTTTGACTTTCAGAGGTGTTTTCAAATTTGAGAATCCAGTAAATGCATGCGTACATATATTAAAAGTATTCCACATGATTTCTTCTCGAAGAATTTTCGCGATAATATTTTATTTTCAGATTTCCTGATGATTGCAACACCTTCTAATTTCTTTTTCTTTGCATTTAGAAGTATCTTGCTGAGCTGCTGTATAGAAACAGAAAGCACTTTGGTTAACATCCATATTGAATAGCGGTGAGAAGAAACAGGATTTCACAATCGGATACTGAACCTGAACACATAATGTATCAGAAAACACATGAAGGTAAAGCTCTGTGCATGATCTTTTCTTTGCCATTAGCAATTGGAATAACGGTTGTCATTTACGGACAATTTAAAGTTGGGGACCTCTAATCACTTGGGATAACGGTTGGCCATGCCATTCTTTGATTCTGTCTTGTTTTATGGGCAGGTATCAATGTTGGGGACCTCTAATCACTGTCACTTTTATCTTGTATGTCTCAAACGCCGAATTTGAAGTTCACCGACAATTTCTCAGAAGCTTATGACATTACTCCGTTGTGTCCAAAAGTGACATACCAATGTAGGAGATTAGAATTCCCACCTCACGAGATGTTGGTCAAATTGACATCGCTCGAGTTTTTGTGTGAACAAAATAGCCGTGATTCAATGAGGTCGTTCCCGTTGAGCCTTTTTCCTAAACTCTCAGTTCTTATAATAGTCAAACAATATGGGTAGAATATTTTCAGATATATTTCATTCTCCGAAAGGAGGTATTTATAATACAGGTTACAAACCCTAGTAGGGTTTAATTAGGAAATAAGTGGAATCCTAATTACATAATATCTATACAAAAGGAAAAATAAATAAAACCCAAATAGAGTAGGATATATTCTACTCGCCAACACTCCCCCTCAAGTTGGAGCAAAGACGTCACGCATGCCCAACTTGTCAAGCGAGTTGAGAAAGATACTTGTAGAAACAGCTTTCGTAAGAACATCAGCTAACTGATACTCTGAACGGATGAAGGGGAAGGACACAATCTCCGCATCCAACTTTTCTTTAATGAAATTTCGATCAACCTCCACATGTTTTGTACGGTCATGTTGTACAGGATTATGAGCAATTGCAATCGCAGCCGTATTGTCACAATATAACTCCATGGGTTTATTAGGCCCAAAACCAAGGTCTTTCAACAATCTCCTCAACCATAGTAACTCAGATACACCATGGGC